GGCCTGACACACGGGCAGGAGATGGAGGCAAGAGACCCCATTCCACACAGCTGGAAACTTGTCCACAAAGGAAAGTCACCAACACGTAACCAGGACAAGACAAGTGTGAGCAACCCCGATACCCCCATTTCTTACTGAGCCCAAATGCTGGAGATGGAACCAGTCCCATTTGTTTTCATGGCTCTGAAGCTTAAACCCTGGCCAAGTGACTCCTCTCATCCCCCTCTTTTGCAGGAATGTAGGGAAAGCAAACACAAAATGAAGATAAATACCAGTCAGCACTTGGAAGGGGAGCAGTTAATGCAAAGCATCTGGCTCCACAGGTCACAGGGAGCTGGGAAGGACTTCCCAAGTGGAGATCTGCAGCTGGAAGTCAGGATTCTGCTCCGCCTCAGAGCTTGGTCTTCCCCCTCCACAGCGGGTGACATTTTGGTGAGCTTGCCTCTGGTCACAGCTGTTCCTCATATCCTGGTGCAAAGCCCACAGCAGGGAACAGGAACAGGAGAGGACCATGCCCAAGATCCTGTAGTGCCAAAGCCCATCAGGATTGGCGAAAAAAGCCTGTTTTTTCCCAGCTGGGAGGGATAGAGCTCCCAGGAACCTGGGCACAGGTCCACAGGGGACAACATTCACCTGTCATGCAGAAGAGGAGCACAGGTAGACAGCAACATCTGCTGAGGACCTCAAGTCCACAGGGGTAGAGGGAAGACACCAAGGGCATCACCATTTCAGGAGAGCCACATGGAGCTGGGACAAGATGCAAGCAGAGCCATCCCTGCCACAAAAATGGGGAGGCTCTCACCCTTTCCTAGCACCTTTGGAATTGGCATCAAGCTCCCACGTGTCCATCTCGGTGCACAGGGAGAGCCAGGAAGGTGGCAACAGGAGAAGGCAGCTCACAAAGCTACACTGGCTGCAGGGAGGGCACCAGCAGCCCGGAACAGCCTTGCTCCAAGGGAAACGAGCCGGGAGCACATCCCACGCAACAGCCCTTTCCTGCAGGGAAGCGCTGCGGAAGGAGGGCACAGGATGGAGCTGGAGGCACTGCCTCATGCTCAGCTGGGCTCCGGGTTTCCTGGGGCTCTCTCCGGCTTCCTGGTCACCTGGGGCATCTTGTCATGTTCGCCCAAGGCCTACAAGCCCTTCTTGGCCAAGCACACGGACAAGGCAAGAGCTCCATGCCCATTTACACCCAGCTTGCACCACCAGGCCCTCCAGACGGGGTGCTGAGACCCCCAACTCACTGCAGAGGGGTTGCTAGAGCTGTCACTACAGCTGGCTCCGACTGTCACCAAATCCAGGTTGGATACAGGAGCCAGCTGAGTCCTGCCACCACCCCTGTCCCTTCCCTCCTGAGCTCCCAGGTCTCTCCCTAGCCCCACTGCACCACCACGTCCCCAGTTCCACACATCAAGCTTACAACCAAACGCACCCACCTTCATTGTGATTCTATTCCCTTTTTTTCCCTCCCTCCTTGAGGAGATTTTTGGCTGCTTCTCTGCAGGCAGGGGGAAGCCCCGCGAGCACAAGAGGCTCCGGAGCCGCTGGATCGCAGCCAAGAGCGGCAGCTACAGGATGGTCCTGCTGAGCTCCGTGCCCTGGAGCGAGTTGAGCACAGGCAGTTCAAAGGAGACCAGCTGCTAAAAATCCCGTTTTCTGGGCAGTCCAGCTTGCCTGCCAACCTTAGATCATGACAGGCACTTAGAGCCTGAAAAGCCCATTTCCCACCCCAGGGGCAAGGGGAGGGGGAGGCCAAACTCGCTCCTCATCGACTTTCTGAACACATGACAGATCTCCAGGGAAGTTAGGGAAATGCGGAGCTGCCCTTGGGGCCTTCCCAAGGAATCCTGAGGAGTCAGCCACAGGACTGGTAACTGCCACTTTGCTTGTTCTATTGAAGCTTCAAGGGAAACCAAGAGGTCTTCAAAGAGGCCCGTGAAGCATCTCCAGCTGCTTGCACCTATAGGAGCCTCACGTCAAGCTGGGAAGATCAAACACTGGATGATTTTTGTGCTGACAAGCACAAAAGTCCTGCCCAAAGCAGTCAAGGAACAAGGTGAGCAGCATTCTAGCTACACAACGACACTGGAGGCTCTGCTCTGAGCCCATGCAGGCCAATTCCTTACTTCATATAACACCTGGCGGCCAGTTCCTTATTTTGTAGAACACGGAGCAGCCTTGAAAGCCTGGGATCCCATCACAGCCGCTGCTTCAAGTCTTGGAAGAGGAAGGAGCAACCACAACGACTCAGGGGCTTTGCACATGCTTCATATCAGCTGAAACGCTGCAGAACAAGAACAAGCCCCCGGACTCAACCCCCCATCAGAGCCCACGTAGATGCAGGCGCTTTCATTAGCCTAAAAGCACTTGAGCTAAAAATAAGGATACGTGTTCAAGCAGCCTAAATCTCACAGTGAAGTCATGGAATAACCATTCCTACAGATATGTGGTCTCAAAGAGGACTACGGCTTCAAAGAGTAAGGCAAGGACCTCATCAAGGCACCGCGGCTGTTCCAGCATGGAATATTGTTTGGATATTAAGGAGTAGCAGCAACTCAAGACACTTTCCAAGTGCCATCCTCTACGCAGAGGCTCCTACAGAGCTTTGCTCTCCAGTCCTTGGTGTCTTCATGGTGTCATGAGCTCCCATGGAAGTGGGCAGCACAAGCAGTTGGACTCGAGGTATTTGGCTCCTCTGCTTCCCTTGGGAAGGTCCTTGGCTTCACATTCCCTTCTGCACATCCCACATTACCCAAAACCAGGACCTTGCTACTGATCTTGCCTAGTTTAGAGCACCTAGTAGCAGGTCTTCCCTTAGGGCAAGTCTCTCCCAGGGCCCTAGGAAAGCAATTAATAAATGAACTGGAGCCCTTGATACCTCCTGGCACTTCAAGCCACTAGAATACCACAGATGAACTCTAGAAGCAGACCTAACATCTCAGATGCAGCACATAATGAACTACTTTATGAGAAAACACCCAAATACTTTGTCCTGCAAGGGCTGAGGATGCCTTGAACCCATCTTAGACCTGCTAAGATGCTACAAGAGCCTCAACAGAAGAGGTCGATAGGACCTAGGAAAGAGAATCCTACTCTGAAGACCAAGATATTTAGATATCAGGGTCACCAAGAAACCCATCTCCTTCCACCCTTGCCAAGGTCAGCACCAGGAGCAGGCATCCTAGGTGGAGTCCTCAAGTTCCAAATAGATCCCCTCAGCACAAGTGACTGCAATAAGGGCCAAAGGAAGCCAGGCAAAATAGCCCAAATTCAGCAAATGGGGAGAGAAACTCCATGAGCATCATCCAGCACCAAAGACCCCATCCTAGGGGGAAGCCAAATCCACCAGCTGCATCCATGTGACCCAGAAGCTCACAGGTCTTCGGGAACAACTTGTCCACAAGGATCATGCTTGGGATCAGCAGGACACAGGAATGTGCAGGGGCAGGTCCAGTCAGAGATCATGAAGATGATTAAAGGCAGGAACATCTCACACAACTGGAGACCAAGTGCTGTCTGCTTAGCCTGGAGGAGCAGCAGTTTGGGGAGGAAAAGCAGAAGCAGGTAATTAACCTATTTGACTAATTATTGGGTGTGAAGGAGCCAGACTCTTCTCAGCTGCATCCAGTAAAAGGCCAAAGGCAACAGGGACAAACCCAAAATACACAAAACCCACAGCAAGAGTTTATGTTTAAATAAAGAGCTCCAAGAGGTTGCCCAGAGGAGCTGGGAAGTCTCCAGCCAAGCAGATACTCAAACCAACTGGAACCAGGAGGTTGGAAACAGCAGCAGGTTTGGACTAAAGGCCCCCAGAGGTCCATGCCAACCCTGAGCACTGTAGGTCTACAAGTCTACAGCCCCAGCAGCACGTTCCCTCTCCTAAAAGCTCCTGGGCTGTAGCACAGATACCTCATTTTCAGCTGTATTTACCTTCCACTTGCTCTGACCTAAATACTCACATCCTTCCCCACTCCAAGTACCCTCAACTGCAGTTTATACCAGCAGGGACAGCTCTCAACCAGGGTGACCACACAAAGCAGACAGCATCTTTTGTGAAGGAAAAAAGACTCCTAACAGAAGAAGGCCATTTTTTCAATAAAACAGATTATTCCACTTCTGAAAAACAGCAAGTCTTGATTACAGACTTTTATTGACCAGTACTTACAGACCCTGCCTGCTGCAGCACCAGGCACTGCCTGGTCGCTCCAGTTCTCAAGTCACCCTGCAAACACGTGCCGCCTCAACAGGCGCATCTGGATTTGATCCCTTTGGAGGGAAATACTTTGCCTGGAGGGAATGCCACCCATGGCCAGCCTCTGCTCAAGGCCAGGTCACTTTGGGTCCCATCGAGCTGATGAAGCAGTCCACAGATCACTGGACATGTCAGAGTCCTCAAGATCTGCCCTTTAACAATGGAATCTAGGGGTCTTTCCTGGGCACAACATTGAGCAAAACTTTCAGGATTTGATTCTATGGTGATAATGTGAAAGGGAGACAGCAGGGCGAGCTCCACCAGCGCTGGCATCACCACGGGTCTCAGCGCTTCAGCAGGAGGCTCTGCTGCCACCTTCCGAGAGCAGAGCTACTGCAGGTGTCCCCACGCAGAGAGGACTAAAAATAGCCGGTTCCCCCACACTTCTGTCACCAGCAGGTGAGCAAAGCGCTGGTTCTTCGCAGGGAGCCAAACCGAAACGCTGAGGCACTGCACGGAGCGGGAGGCCGGCCTCAGCCTCCAGCCTGAGCTTCGTCTCACGGTTACAGACGATCAAAGGGCTCAAAAGAGAGGCTTGGGGAGAAGGAACTGGAGAGGAACTGGAGGGACTCTTCCCGCTTCAGCGAGGCGGAGGCCGGCGAGGCTGAGGGGGCGGCAGCACAGGCGGCTCCCCGCGAACCCCTCGGGGGGGACAGCAGGGACAACAGGATCCCTCGGGGCTGCCACCCCAAAGCGCCATCAGCAGCAGCCCCCAGGGAGAAGCCGCCCCCGCCACGGCCGCTCTCACCTTCTTGCCTTTCTTGCCCTCCTCCTCCATGTCTCCGGCGGCGGCGGCGGCCCCGGCCCCCTCCGGGGCATCCCCGCAGCGGCGGCGCGCGCGCGGCGGCCGCGGCCCGGCGGCGGTGGCGGCTGCGGCGGCCCCGCTCCCGCTCGCGGCCCCGCTCCCGCTCGCGGCCCCGCTCCCGCTCGCGGCCCGCGCGGAGCCGCCTCAGCGGCGCCCGCAACTTTTCAATCCTGCCGCCATCTTGGGCGGCGGCTTCCCGGCGTGCCCCGCGCGCCGCCCGGAGGACTGACCTCAGTCCTCCGCGGGCGGGGGGGTGGGGGACGCAGCGCATGCGCGGCCGCGAACCTCGCCCCAGCGCCACGCCCCCGAAGTCGAGGCCCCGCCCATCACGGGGTTGCCCCGCCCACCGCGTAGCCGGCCGAGCCTCCACACCTCGGTCCCGCCCACTGTGGCGTTGGCCCCGCCCCCTGGCGCCGGCCCCCCGCGGCCGGCTCTTCTGTCCTCCCTCCCGCCGTGCGCGCTGCGCATGCGCGGGCCCCTCCCGCTGGCTGCGCCACCGCCCGCCAGGTGGCCGTGCCGCGGAGGGGGGGGGGCGCGCTGACGTCACGCGCCAGCCAGGCTCCGCCTACAGCCATGGCGGCGGCGGCAGCAGGTAGGAGGGGGGTGCGGTCGCAACATCCGCCGCCATCGGCGGCTGGGGGACTTCCCGGGGGCCGGGGATGCGGCGGGGTCGGTAGCTCTGAGGCCGGGCGGTCGCATGGGGGCGCTCCGGGCGGCGGCGCTGCCCCGATGGGGCGGCGGGGCCACGCCGCGAGGCCGCGTGGCGCGGTGCACGCTGGGAAGGCCCATCCGCCGCGCACGTGGGCGCCGCGTGGGCCGCGGGCGGTGGATGATGGCGGGCGGGGATCGCCGGCCCCGCGCGGATCTGCGGCCCCGGGCACCGCGGGGCGCCGTGTCCGGCAGCCATGGAGGCCGGGCCTTCCCGGGCTGGCGGTCGGTGCCTTCCGGGTCCTTCGAGGGGGGTCACCGGGCGTGGGCGCAGCTCAGCCCCGGCCCCGGGGGGCATCCCGCAGCCGGGCTCGGGGCCGGCCGGGTGCCTCGGCCGCAAGCCGTCCAGCGTGGCGGGGCCTGCGGTGGCGCCGCCGCTCCTGCAGCGCTTGCCAGAGCAGCCCGGGACGGTTTGAGGCCTCCCGCCGCCCTCCCTGGCGCGGGGCCGTAGGAGTCCCGGACAGGCCCCGGGTTTCGCTCCCGTGTCCGGCAGCTTCTCCATGATTCATTCCCAGCACTTGGCCGCAGCAGGGGATGGCGCCGGCCTGTTGCGGGTGGTGAAGACTTCTGGGATAACAGCTCGTTTTTCTTCCCAGTTTGCAGCCTCCCTCGCTGCCGGCAGCCCGGGCAGATGGACAACAGCGGGCAGGTACCTGGAACAGGCCTGTCCCGAGGGGCTTCTCTTCCCCGTTCCACCACGTGGCAGCAGTTTGTCTGTCCAGGTGAGTCCAAATGCAGCCACAAGGGGAACATTCCCTCTTCAGCCAACGGACAAGGGTCCGGCAGGGCTGAAATCCCGTGGGAAGGAGGGCCGTGCCTTGTGCTGCCCGTCCACCTCCGGGCTCGGCCGCAAGCCGTCCAGCGTGGCGGGGCCTGCGGTGGCCCCGCGCACTCCTGCAGCGCTTGCCAGAGCAGCCCGGGACGGTTTGAGGTCTCCCGCCGCCCTCCCCGGCGGGGGGCTATAGAGGTCTCGGACACGGGTGTCACCTGGAGTGTGACCACGGTGACGTGGGCCACAGGGCAGAGGCTCCACGGGCACCGGGAGGGGACACGGGGGTGGCTGGGGGAGCTCCCAGGACCTGCACACAGACCCATCTCCCCTTCCTGCCCTGCAGAGCCGACGGGATGAGAAGGGAGTTTCCTGCCAGGATGGGCACAAGAAGAGCGCGAGTGGAGGAAGAGGAGGATGAGGAGCTTCGGCCCTGACCCAGCTCAGTCTCCTCACCAGAGTCCCGGCCCGTTCCGACGGGCTTCCTGCACGGCTTGAGCATGGAGACGTGTCACATCCCAGCGCCGCGAGGCCCCTCGCTCCGGGGTAAGGGCTCCTCGTGGCCACGGGGAGCACCAGGAAACCCCTGTGTGTCTGGGGCGGCGGGGGACACTGAGGTCTCACCGCGCGCTCCTAACGCTGCCTCCTCTCTCCTAGCTCCCGTCGGCCTCAGCAACACTCTGTGAGGAAGAGGAGGAGGAAGCCTGACCCCGCTCCAGAGGCGATTCCTACCCCGTAGGAAGGAATTCCTGCCCACAGGAGGCGATTCCTGCACACGGGGCTCTCCTAGTGCAGACCAGCTGAATAAACACGAGTCCCTGGCACCGCAGTCCTGTGTCCTCTGTCCCCCGGGGCCGCTTCGGTTCCACACGGCTCCTAGGGTGTTCTGCGCGCGCTGCCATGGGCAACTTGAGTCCAGGGGCTTCCTGCCGGGAATGGCCCTTCCCATACAAGCGGTTCCCGCTCTCCGGCGGGGGCCTCGGCACCACTCCGCTGCGGAAGTGCCCGCGGGCGCTGGGGTGTGGGCCGGATGCCGCGGTGGCGCCACCGCTGCTCCGGAGGGAAGTGACGCTGCGCAACCGCAGCAGCCCCGCGCTCCCCGAACCCCCAAATCCAGGCGCTTCATCCCGCCGGGGTCCCCGTCCCATCCCGGACACCCGCGTGGCTCCGCCGCAAGGGCCTCCCTCGTCCCCGCAGCCCGGCACCACCGCAGGCGTCCCCGTTGCCGCTGCGGGCACCCACGGGATGTGGTGACGGGGCCGGGCCGCGGGGCGCAGAGCTCGGCGCCTGCGCCGCTCGCCGCCGCGGGGACAGGAAGGCGGCGCCTCGGGGCCCTGCGCGCGGTGCCCGCTGCCCGGCGCGCCATGGCGGAGCAGGAGAGCCCCGAGTTCGGCAAGGCCGACTTCGTGCTGCTCGACGAGGTCACCATGGAGCACTTCATGGAGAACCTGCGCCTGCGGTACGGCCTGGGGGTCCCCGCCGGAGCTGCGGGTGACGCCCTGCGTGCGCCGGGGTGGGAAGCAGCCTCCATCGGCAGGAAGCATCTGCCCCTGGTTGGGAACCGGAGTCGCGTCCGCGCGTGAGCGGTGGCAGGGAAACATGCCCCTGGTTGGGAACCGGAGTCGCATCCGCGCGCGAGCGGTGGCAGGGAAACATCTGCCCCTGGTTGGGAACCGGAGTCGCGTCCGTGCGCGAGGGTGTCCAGGGAACCATCTGCCCCTGGTCGGGAACCGGAGCGGTGGCCAGGCCGGCGCGCGCGGCGGGGCCCCGTTTCCTCCCGCGGGACGACCCCGGCGCTCGGCTGCGCGCAGGTTCTCCCGCGGCCGCATCTACACGTACATCGGGGAGGTGGTGGTGGCCGTGAACCCGTACCGGGCGCTGCCGCTCTACGGGCCCGGCGTCGTGGAGCGCTACCGCGGGCGCGAGCTCTACGAGCGCCCGCCGCACCTCTACGCCGTGGCCGACGCCGCCTACAAGGCCATGAAGCGCCGCGCCAAGGACACCTGCATCGTCATCTCGGGTAGGTGGGGGAGGCCGGGGGGCGCCCCACGGTGCCGGTTCCGCCGGGTCACCCGCCCGGGTCACCCACCCGTGTCACCCACCCGTGCCACCCCCACGGCAGGCGAGAGCGGGGCGGGCAAGACGGAGGCGAGCAAGTACATCATGCAGTACATCGCGGCCATCACCAACCCCACGCAGCGCGCCGAGGTGGAGAGGTGGGGACGTCCGCAGCGGCCCCCCTTGGCCCATGGGGGGCCATGGCTATAGGGGTGGTGCGGCGGGGTCCATAGGGTGCTCCGTGGTAGGGTGTGGGGAGCCCAGGGTTGCCCCATGCCCATAGGGGTGGCGGGAGGTTCTTGGAGAGCTCCATGCCCATGCAGGTCCCGTGGGATGTCACGTACCTATAGGAGCTTTATGAAGGTCCTTGGGATGCCCTATGCCCATAGGGGTGGTTTGGGGGTCCATAGGGTGCTCCATTGTACAGTGTGGGGAGTCTGGGGTTGCCCCATGCCCATAGAGGTGGCAGGAGGTTCTTGGGGAGCTCCATGCCCGTACAGGTGGTTGTGGGGTCCTGTGGGATGTTACACGCCCATAGGGGCTTCATGGGAGTCCTTGGGATGCCCCACACCCATATGGGTGGTGTGGGAGTCCATAAGGTGCTCCATGATAGGGTGTGGGGAGCCTGGGGTTGCCCCATGCCCATAGGGGTGCTGTGAAACTCTTGGGGGTGCCCCAAGCTCATGGGTTTGGAGTGGGATCCCTGGGGTGCCCCATGCCTGCCGGGCTCATGTAGGAGTCCCTGTGGTGCCCCATGTCCATAGAGAGGTTGTGAGGAACCCTGGGGTGCCCCATGTTCATGTCCAAGTACGAGGAGCCCCTGTGGTGCTCCATGATGAAGTGGGGGTCCCTGGGGTGCCCTATGCCCACAGGGATGGTTGTGGGGTCTCATGGGGTGTCCCGCGCCAGCTGTACTGGGGTCCATGGGGTGCCATGTCCTTTGCCGTGCCACACTGTGCCAACCAGGGTGAAGAACGTCCTGCTGAAGTCCAACTGCGTCCTGGAGGCCTTTGGCAACGCCAAGACCAACCGCAACGACAACTCGAGCCGCTTCGGCAAGTACATGGACATCAACTTCGACTTCAAGGGCGACCCCACGGGGGGCCACATCCACAACTACCTCCTGGAGAAGGTGCGGGCACAGGGCGCCGCGTGGGTGCTGCCGGCGCGGCCACCACCGGGCACCCACCCCCTGCTCCCTCTTCCAGTCCCGCATCATCCAGCAGCAACCGGGTGAGAGGAACTTCCACTCCTTCTACCAGGTGAGCCACCCGGGATGGGATGGGATGGGATGGGGTAGGGTTGGGTGGGATGGGATGGACAGGATGGGATATGAGCAGGTAAGACGGGATGGATTGCCATGAGATGGGTCAGATGGGACCGCATGGGATGGGACGTAATAGGATGTGAGGGGATGGGATGGGATGCACAGGATGGGATGTGAGGAGATAAGAGGGGATGGATTGGGATGGAACAGATGGGGCTGGATGGGATGAGATGTAATAGGATGAGAAGGGATGGGGTGGGATGGAGTGGGATGAGACAAACAGGACAGGATGAAATGGGATGGGACTGGATGGGATCGTATGGACCGGGATAAGATGGAACAGGATGTGAGGGGATGAGATGGACAGATGGGATGAGACTGGAGGGGAGAGGATGAGCTGGGGTCAGATCAGAAGGGCTAGGACGGGATGGGGACAGCTGAGGCGAGATGGGACTGGCAGAAGACAGGAAGGGATGGGATGGGACTGGAGGGGGACAGCCTGGGACCCAATGGGAATGGACAGGATGAGGATGAGTGGGATGAGACTGACTGGGACAGGAGAGGACATATCAGACTGGGCTGTGATGGGATGGGACAGCACAAAGTTGGATGGGAGCAGCTGGATCCCGACGGGCCAAAGCAGGGCCCACCGGGAGGGAGCCCTCGGTGTCACATCCCAGGGCCGCGTCACGCGGGGCGGTGACGGGGCCCCACGGCCACCCCTTCCCCTCAGCTGCTGTGGGGCGCCCCGGACGCGCTGCTGGCCTCGCTGCAGCTCCAACGCGACCCCGGCGCCTACTGCTACACCCGGGAGGGCACGGCCAGCGGCGTGAGTGACCGCGGGCTCGGGGACACCGTGTCCCCGGCGGCTGTGACGAGCGTGACAGGGCTCAGCACGCTGGATGCCAGCCCGGGGGCACCCCGGGCACCCCGGTCCGCTCACGCGGCTCTGGTGCCCGCTGTCCCCAGGCCGGGGGTGACGACGCGGCCAGGCACAAGGAGGTGGAGGAGGCCATGGCCGTGATCGGCTTCACCCCGGAGGAGATCAGCTCTGTGCACAAGATCCTCGCTGCCATCCTGCACCTGGTGAAATGCATCCCATCCCATCCCATCCTGTCCCGTTCCATCCCATCCCGTCCCATCCCATCCTGTCCTGTCCCATACCATCTCATACCATCGTATCTCATCCCATCCCCTCCCATCTTGACCTATCCTATCTTGTCCCATCCAGTCCTAACCCATCTTGTCCCATTCACTCCTGCACGATCTTATCCCATTCTGTCTCAACTCACCCAGTTCTGTCCCATCCCACGCTGTCACCTCCTCTCCTGCCTCATCCTGTCCAGTCACATCTTGCTCCATCCCAACCTGCCTCATCGTGTCCCGTCTTTTTTCATCCCCTTCAGTCCTATCTTGTCCCATCCCAGCTAGCAATAACCACTAGAAACCAGTACAGCCACACGTCCAGCCCCACACAACCCAGTACAGCCCCACACAACCCAATGCAGCTCCACCCAACCTAGTACAACTCCATCCAACCCAATACAACCCCACCCAACCCAGAACAGCTCCACCCAAACTTGTACAACCCCTCACAACCTAGTACCACCCCTCACAACCCAGTACAATCCCACATAACCCAGTACAGCTCCACACAACCCAGTACAGCTCCCCCGAACCTAGTACAACCCCACCCAACCCAATACAGCCCAAACAAGCCAATACAACCCCACACAACCCAGTACAGCCCCACCCAACCTAGTACAGCTCCACCCAACCTAGTACAACTCCATCCAACCCAATACAGCTGCACACAACCCAATAAAACCCCACACAACCCAGTACAGCCCCACCCAACCCAGTACAGCCCCACCCAACCCAGTACAGCCCAAACAACCCAATACAACCCCACACAACCCAGTACAGCTCCACACAACTCAGTACAACCCCACAAAACCCAGTACAGCTCCACCCAACCCGGTACAGCCCACCCAACCCAATACATCCCCACCCAACCCAGTAGAGCCCCC